AAAGGTGTGAAACGACGTGATACGAAGCGGGCGACAGTCGTGCGGCGGTCGCAGAACAGCTCCGAGTCGGTGTCGCTGCTAAAGGACATCGAAGACGCCAAAGAGAAGAACAAGATGCAGAAGCACCGGATTCACGACTTGGAGAAAATCCTGGCGTCTTCGAAACTCCAAATTGCCGACCTGACCATGTCGAATCAAGTGCTTCAGAGCTCGCTGCAAGACATCACGCTCAAGGCCACGGAGGCCAACCAAAGCGAGAGCCAAACGATTGCCAATTTACGAGAAACCAGAGACCAAGTCGAGTTGCTGACGAGGGACTTGCAGCGAATGGAGCGCAAGGTATCTGCCTTCGAAGGGTTTATTATACAACTCGGGTCCGAACTGTACTATTTGGCGGAAGACCCCACGCTGTTGACGTCGGTGACTGTACCGTTGGTGCTCGACGTCCCAGACGACAAGATAGCGTCGTCTGCGAATCTAAAGTACGCCAACGGAATGCCATTTTTTTCGACATGGCCACCTCACACGAAGTAGAAATGGCGTCACCGTCGACATGATGGCCAAGAGACAAGCGATTCAACAGCAGCTTTACTTGGACCAAGTCTTGAACAACTACATCGTGGCGTACTCGGAGCGCGTGGAAATTGTACGTTCCATGCACTCGCTGCCGGATTTGATTTTTGGACTAGTGCTGCGGCAACATCAAGCGCGCGCAAGACACGCTCTTGGAGCTGTCCCAAGACCTCATGCTGAGCAAACGCAAAATCGACAACCAGTCGCAACAGCTGCAGCAACTTGCCATGGAAACGGAAGGGTTGCGGGTGAATTTGGAGGCCGAGAAGATCTCGACAGCCAAGCTGGACCGAGTCGTAAAAATCACGGTCGCAGAACTCAACGATGTCAACGAAAAGATGCGAGGGCAGAAAAAAATGGTGCATCGCTCGAAGCGAACGTGCCGGATCGTGTTCACGGGACTCTCTGGCAGGTGGAAGAAGTTGACATCGAGCGCAATAAACTCCAGGAAGAGAAGCGAAAAATCGCGTTCATGATGATGGACAAATCCAAGACGCTAGATCGAGAAATCGACTTGAACGAACAACTCACGAAGAAGCTGCATGTCATGGAGACCGATCTGGCGAAAACGACCGAGGCGAAGGCGAAACTGCAGGCCGAGGTGACCAGTGCGAGCTCCCAACGTCAATCTAAACACTTGTCCACGTGTCCCTTTTGGATAGCTCCAAGTGTTTTTGGATGGGGTTGCGTTCCGTGAAGCAACGAACCAAGACGTTGGAGTCATGGCCCGGCCACTCACGCGGGATGCAGAAATGCAGTCGGACAAGTGGAAACCCCAGGTGCTGTTCGAGCGATTCCATCACCGTCTGACTTGTAGCCAGGGTCTGGTGCTGCGCCAGCGAAATAGTCCAAACATGCTGCCACAGCGGTACGAAGGCCCTGCCAAGGTCATGGTCGCGTGTCCGAGCTTGGATACCCTCTTGACAGATAAGCGGTCGATCGACCGACCGTCCACGTCCAACCAAGCAATGCCCCAGGCCACGCCAGCATGGCCCCCGTCGGTTCGATCGCAAACAGCCAACCAACCGCAGCGAAAACACAATCGGGACGTCAATTTGCCCCGAGTATAATATCGATAGGTTTCGTTTGTGTGGCAACCCATCGAGTTGTTATCGCCATGTTTTGTGCATTGGTACAGTCGCCAAGGATTGCATATACACCAAGTAGCACCGCACAAACAAAACGATTGTGTGAAGGTGCAAAGGCAAAACGAGGGCTTGGTCTTGGATGCACTGCCATTCATCGTGGCTTCCTACTGACGAGTACTAGAAACTTACACTCCTTCCTTCCACTTCTATGCAAGTCGCCGCGGTATAGATCAAGGTCATGCCATCGTTTTCCAGTACTGGAGCCCCTAAATGGTCGACGCGCCAGTGGATTCTCCGAGCGTGAGCAAGGTAAATTTGGTACGACACCGCGACAATTCCAGTGGGCTCAATGTACTAACTACAACTCGACCACCACGCAAGTGTCGCTACCTCAACGCCGATGATCCCTTCTTACAATGTCTGAATCCACGAATTCACGGCGCAATGAATTGAGCAGATCATGGTTCAAAGTTATCGCAGCGGTGTTGTAACAGTTCTACGGTACTGTTATCCGTACACATGTCAAAGATCTTCATT